GTAAAATCAATAACATTCTCTAAAACCTTTATTATAGGAAATGGGGGCCAAGGTTAAAGACACACCTTCTTGAAAGCTTATTTTAATGGAATGGATTGTTGAAAAATATTGCTACATCATTACCGATTTACCTTTCAACATTTTAGGTGTTACTAATCTACCCATAAACTTGTGAAAGTTTATGACGAATACTCACAAATCACCCTACCTAAACATGCACATATACAATGCAGTGTATGTCTGGCTTGCCTGCCTATAAGGGAAACATGACTACGAGCAAACAAGAGGATTGGTTAAATTATATCTATATCCAAAAGCTTTTGTTTTGGGTAGAGTAGGCAAGGGTTAAAATCCCTGTCAGCTTCTCATTGCTTTCTCTGCCCCAACTAGGGAGGTTTACCCCTCAATCTGTGCTGGTGACGGTTATTACTGGTAAAGAATGTGTGAGGAAAATAGAAAAAATATGGAGACACTTGCTCTGACAATTGTCTGAGAGATGTACCCCACTGTGGAAAGTTTTCCTCTCACTTCCTCGTGTGGCTAAAGGACAGAATGTGAATGGAAATATCCCCAATGGTAAATTAGCAAAGAATAAAAACCATGACTGGACTGGACATAATTCTTCTATTTCTGTGGCTGCTATGGTCGAGAAAGAATCTTGGTGAATCCCAGAACTTTGATATTCCACTCAAGGAGAGACACATATCTCCCCAGCCACTGATCTGAGGCCCCGTTCACATTGAGCGATTTATCGCGCGGTAATTCCCGCGATATCGCGGTAATTTACCGCGCGATATCGCTCTCCAATGCTTCTCAATGGGGCAAAGGGTCCTGCTGTCGCGGGTCGTGTGTCGCTACAGCAGGACCCTTTTTGGAGCGGATTTAGCCACGATTCAAGCTTGCTCAATGCAAGCATTTGCGCGATATCTTGCAACAAATCGCGCGATATCGCGCAAAATGCAAATCGCGTGACAATTTGTGCATCGCGCAGTGTGAATGGGGCCTAAAGGAGATACTGTTCTACCTATTACCACCTTTAGGTAGTGTGATAGGGTGGCTATGAGAAAGGATATGATAATATATATTACTAGATGTTGGAATGTTAAATTAACTGACAGAGTATTATGTCTATCTCATACTCTAGTGAAATCTCAGAACTTGACTTTCCAGGTATAAATACATGCGAGCATTTTACAAATGTTACCACTCTGACTGCTGGATTTTTAATTCGTTTTATAGCAGAAAAAAATGCAATAGGAGAAAGGTAACACCTCTGCTTTAGTAGCAAAACTCAGACTCTGGAGCAGACAGGAACTTTGGTGGAGGAACTTTGCAGGAGGTTTGCCCCAACTAGCATCTCCCCAAGAGATGAAAAAAAATCCAGCAGTTGACTCTGCAGTTAAAACTCAAACATTACTTTTGGAAGGACCCTGTATATTAGTAAAACATTTTATACTGCACACTCCATATTAAGTCTAATATAAACATCACAGAAAAAGTAAGGAATTATGCGTGTAAACTACAAAGCTGATTATGGAAATCTGCTTTAGGAGACTTAATAATATCAAATAAAAATAAAAATGATACAACCATTTATCCTTAAAGTCAATTATGTGACTACTATGCAGTGGGAAAGCAAGGTAGACGTCTAGGATAATGTTCCAGTGTCCTTATTACTAAATGTTTGGAGTTTTCATGAAAATACATGTTTTATATTGGAACACTACATTCATGCACACAATATGCTCAGTGAGAAACACCTGGAGGCGAGTAGGTATCTATTTAACAAAATAAAAAATACAATAATTTTTATTTGGAGTGATTACTTTTCAAATAGAACACAAAAGTACGGAAGAGAATTGCTAGATATAATTATTGGATGCAATTATAAAAGGGTAAACAGGTGAGCTGAAAAGATCAGTGTAAAGCATTCAGTTGGGATGGAAGGAGGCATGCGTGCTTCTGTGATGAAAAACAAGGTATTCTGTTCAGCAGGCTCACAGGGCTGGTTTCTGGGCAAGTCTGTCAATATACCTTATGTCAAGTTACCTCCTGTGAATATTATCCCTTTATAACTATATCCACAGTACAGTCTGTAGAACATTATACTGCCAAGTAAGCTGTGCTTTCAGTTTAAATCAGCTGAATGCATTCCAGCTGCTTCAAAACAAAACGCAAAGTCTTACAGTTTATTTTCTTTAAAAATCAGTCACAGCTTGAGGAGAAAAGCCTGTCCCCTGCCAGCATACTACAGAGAAGGACCCTTACTGTGTGGAAGTAGTGGTCTCCAAGCAGAGGTCCAAAACACCCCCTGATGAGTGACATTTTTTTTTCTGGAATTAGGTAGGCTTCTTGAAGATTTTGTCCTCTCACTTCGGCCCACTGTTCTCTGTTTGACATGCCTGCCCCCAACCTATTTACCTATCTTAGTTCGGTTTAGATCTACTTTAACAGAACTGACTTCTATGTAATTTTAACATCCTTGCATAATGATAAGGTCTACTATAACCAATAAGCAAGATCTTGGTGGAGTTTAGTTAATGGATGCCTAAAACTCGCAGGGAACCCAGCAGGGAAAGCTCAACACAGAGACAAAGGGGTTAATTTACTAAAGGCAAACAGGCTCTTTACATTACAAGGGAATTTGTACTTTTCAGGGGAAGTTTCCCTTAGCTTAGTGAATGTGGTGAAAATTCACTTTGCAAAGAATACCCAATCATGTGCAAGGAAAATAAAAGAGATGGATACCAGCAGAGCTTTCCCCTTTCATAAACTAAGTGGAAAGTTCCCCTGCAAAGTGAACAACCTATTTGCCTTTAATAAATCAACCCCCAAATTCACCAAATGTATGGCACATGGTGCTCTATTTTATACCAAGAAATTGTGTCAACTGCTGGATTACATATATCTATGTATATACATGCAAAACACCAGTGCTTGGCTAGTTAATCCACTTTTTTTGTTGAAAGAGAAAAACAGCTCTTCAGCTACATAGAATTTGGGGTTGAATAAAGACACAGATCCATCAAGTTAACCCTCTGTGTGTCTGTGTGTGTTTGTGCGTGCGTGTGTGTGTGTGTGTGTGTGTATATGAGTCTGTGTGGTCTAGTTTTCAAGAGCACCTGTACCCCTGTATGTTATAGTCTCTGAGGAAGGTATCTAAATGATTTTTGAATGATTCAATACTCTCTGCTGATACCACTGCTTGTGGAAGAGAGTTCCAAAATTTAACCACTCTAACTGAAAAGAAGCCCCTACTCCCCTTGTGGTTATATCTTTTCTCCACCAATTTTAGGTGGTGGCCTCTATTCTTCTTAATGGAGTTTACAGTGAAAAGTTTATTGCTGATGCTGCTATCACCACTAAACATTTTGTACATCAAAATTATGTCCCTTCTTAATCGCCTCACTTCCAGTGTGAACAAGTTTAAATTTAGCAACCATGCCCTCCAGCCCCCTAATTAGTTTAGTTACCCTTCTCTGGATTCTCTCTAGCTCAAGGGCATCCTTTCTGTGGACTGCTGACCAAAACTTAACTTCATACTCAAGATGAGGCTGAACCAGTGATCTATAAAGTGGCAAAATTATTGCATTCCATTTTTAATGCATGACAGTACTCTGCTAGCTTTGTTTGCCGCAGCCTGGCTATGCAAGCTATTATTCAATCTGTGGTCTACTAAGACCCCCAAATCTTTTTCCATTTCTGACTTCCCCATTAATGTTATATTGTCTAAGCCCGTGTCTATTACCCTCCCAATTTTAGTATCATCTGCAAACACTGAAACATGGCTGTTAACACCTTACCCAATATCAATAATAAACAGGTCAAACAGTATTGGGCCTAGCACAGAACCCTGGGGCATGCCACTCTTGACCTTTGACTAATTTGAAAAATAGCTATTTATCAATACTCCCTGGACATGTTCCTGAAGCCACTTCTCTATCCATGTACACACCATTTCATCTATGCCCATAGATTTCACCTTGTGTATTAAGCGTTTATGTGGTACCATGTCAAAAGCTTTTGCGAAATCCAGGTAAACCACATCTAACGGCCTTCCTCCATCCAGATCTCTACTTACCTCTTCATAGAATGTAAGCAGGTTGGTCTGACAACAAAGGTCCTTCCTAAATCCATGCTGATTATCACTTTAAATAGTCCTTTATCATTCCCTCAACAAGTTTGCATACTATTGATGTTAGACTGGCGGGTCTGTAGTTCCCAGGTTGGAATCTTGAACCTTTTTTGAATATTGGTACTAGCGTAGCTTTACGTCAATCACTTGGTACCCTTTCAGTCATTATGGAGTCATTGAGAATGAGGAATAATGGTCTCACTATAACCTGGCTGAGCTCTTTAAGTACCATAGGGTGCAGGTTATCCAGTCCTAATGATTTATTTGCAACACTTGGTTCAATAAACAGTTGGTTCAATAAACAGTTGGTTCAATAAACTGAGGATTCTAGCAAACATCACAGAAGAGTTTTAGCTGCTCTCCTCTTGAAATGGACACATGCATTCTAGATAATTCCTATCCCTAAATACTTAAGTATAAAAGTATGTCTAATATATTCACACAATCAGTTATTGTGTTATATCAAGAGAAATACTGCTGGGTAAAACAGTAAGCCATACACATGAGCAGGGAATTACATTTCTGAAGGGGCTCTGTACACACAATGTGCAGATTACCCCAGGGTTTTCAACAGTAGCAATAAGGATGTATTATTTGGATTATGTATCAGTGTTAGAAAATGAAGACTGAAACAAAATGAAATAAAATGTAGACTGATGCAGAAAAATCATTGTTAACATTAAACTGCAAAATAGCATGTGTAGCACGTAGTAAAGGACAATATGGTGTGTTTTAGCCAAAGTGGTGATAGTAAGGGGCAAAAAAGATCTTGCTGGATGAATGTGGCCAATTGTCAGAGAAATTTTAAAATAGGTTTTATATAATCTATAAACAAGGAAAAGAAAGCCATAAAAACACTACTCACCCTCCTTTAATATAATCAAGAAACGAAACTTCTGTTTCCACTAGAAAAGAAAGCAAAGTAACCTAAAAGCAAATTAAAAACAATTAGACATGAACAAAGCATTATGTTATGGCTGGATCTCCTTACACGAATTGGCTCTAACACCAGTATGATTATTATTAGTTGGAGTTTAATATATTGCATCACAAGACAGTTAGTTGATGTAGAGTCTTTACCTCTATAACATCTCCGTTTAGGAATGTTTGGTTTTGCTGATACTTCTGACTCAATAAAGTAAGTATGCAGCGCTAGGGATTAATTTGGTATTGGGATCTGCTTTAGGCTTAGGGCAGTAGTGTTATGGGTTAGGGTTTAGAGCAGGGGTCCTCAAACTTTTTAAACATGGGGCCAGTTCACTGTCCCTCAGACATTGCTGGGGGCCGGATCATAGTTTGAAAACTGGGGCGAGGGGCGTGGCTGTGGTGCCACCCCTCCCTCCCGTACCCTCCCGTACCAGAACAAACGTTTTTTTTTACATTATGTTAGGAAACATTTATTATCACCCAATTTTTTGGTAAAATATAAAAGACGGGGTCACGTCGGGTAAATAGACACCAAACATGTCAAGCTTACAAATTGCGCGCACTCGCAAAATCGCAAAAAGACACCACTGCCAAAATTGGCCATAGGCGACGCTTTAGTAGCTTTTACCGCTCATCGGTTTAGTGTTATCAGTGATTGATGACCCTAAAATTATTGCTCTCACTGCGACGTTTGTGGCAATATGTAACATGTGCGGCGTAATGGGCGCAAACGTCGTTTACGATATGCGTGTATGTATGGGGGGACTTTTAAAAAAATATTATTTTTAATTCTTTTTTGTGTGTATCTTTAAAACATTTTTTGGGAAACGTAAAAAATTTTTCCACCTAACTTTATTGCTATCACATAGGGGGCTAAGAAACCCCTCCTATGTGATAGCAAAAGATGTGACAGGTCCTCTTTATGGAGACATCAGGGGTCTCCAAGACCCCTAATGTCACCTAGGACCCCCAAAGAAGCTGATTAAGCACAGATCTGCTTCATCAGCTTCTCTCCAGCGTCTAAAGCTGGAGAGTGACACAAATATACATCACTTCCGCATTCTTATAACGGAGAGGGGACCGGAGGGAGATCGTGTACCGACCTCCCTCTGATCCCCTGTCAGTGTGAGTTTAGAGGGTATTTCAATGTTACATACATGGGAAGAAATAGCTTAAGTTTTAGGTTTGGTTAAGAGTGAAGATTACAATTAGTGTTGGATAGAGCAGAAAAGAGTTAGAACCTCTATTGAATTCCCAACTCTACTGAAAAAATTTTTTGGTTGCTGTCTCTATTACTTTCTGCCACCAGGACAGGATCTGAAAGGAAATCTCCCCAATGGGGACACAATAAATATATAAATAAATAGCTATCAAATGTTCCAAGCCTTTCCTACTTTGTGTTAAGTAATAATAACAGGTAGGGGTATGGGACATTATTGCACTTATTTTTGACATTAAAAAACAATAAACTGTAATGCATCTGTACAGTATAGTGAACGACTGTGCATCTTTTTGTACATGCTAGACACCATAAATCCAATTCATATACATGATAACAAATATAATCACCATACACAGAAACTAACACAGTATTAATTAAAAATGCATACATTATTAAAAGCATGATTGTTGCAATACTAAATACCCTTCTAAGAGTGAAGTATGACATAGACAAATGTGTCTGCATTAAACAAATAATATATATGTAATATATACGTTTTCGCTTAGAGTGTGGGTGGGTTAAGCTTGGTTTAAAGTAAACCTGTACTCTTCATTAAAGTTTTAAAAGTAAAAGTCCTGCCTCTGACACCACAACATTTTTGTTACATTAATTCGCCAAACCACATTCTACTGTGTCCATATTCAATTTACCTTTCCCTTGTTAATTGTGCTCTGTTAACTTCCATTTCACTGTCCAATGAGACTTTTCATAAAGGGCAGTGTCACTGGACATGGAAATGGCAGTTGGTGGACTTAACCATGAGGTCACGGAAGGTTATAATCTATGCAATTAAATAAATCAGAATCAGTGGCACACAAGATGCTTTTTTGGATAATAAAGATAATAGTGCACATCTTTCAGCGTCCTACACAATCAATGTCCTCATTTTTAATTAGTCTGGGAGGTAGGTTAAACTGATGCATTTTTCATCCAATAGTATTGGCAAGATCATCTAAATAAGCCAGATATCTGGGCTAGGACAGCTGATGTCATAAGAGTGAAGATTTTCAAAACAATAGGAAGAAAACAAAATCCCAATGAATTGTGAAACATTAGGCACATTTAGACTTATGCGGAGAGGTCCTCTTTAAAAAATAGAATATAAAAAGTACATTTCTGGGAAAATGCTTTACTTTTTCTGTCTTGTATAACTTGTGACCTAGGGTTAATTTTAAACCTATATTCATCTTATACATTTTTCCTTTCTGAATATCTTACACTTCTCTGCTTCCATGATTAATGCAGACCAAAGTCACCTTTAACATTGCCGTGCCATACTTTCTTTTTATGTAGAAATATAATTTCCATAAAGAATTCTAAAAAGTCCAAACTAAAGGAACATGTATTAATGCATTATAATGACAGCCTCTTATGTATCTGTTTTAAGACACTACTTAATTAGTTTAGTAATTTGCTTTCTCATACTGTTATTGAATTAAAACTATAAGAAATGCAAATGAATACAACAACTTCTGAACATACTACTTTTCATTGCAGTCATGAAGATTTATCAATAGGGATAAGCAAACATTTTCATAAAGCAGAGTTTGCAGAAGATCAGGCCAATTTGAGTAATAATTGTTTTTTTCCAATGTGTACCATTTTGCTGCCACGGGTGAATTTTCCAAACTGTCAACAGGAGCCAGCCTGTCTGAATTCTGTTGAATTTTCCAGCAAATCTGACAGTTTTCATTTACTAATTTGTTAGCTAAATATTCCTATTTAACAGCAATAAAATGCAGAAAATATATTAATTTAACCAGTCATTTTACTTACAGTTCCAGAATTTAGGTATTTTTTCTTCTTTCCTTTTTTCTTGGGATTTATTACCTACCAAACATATTTAAGTGTGAACAGTTGATATAGCAAATAATTTATAAATAAAATATGTATATATATTTACACATTTCATCTTAAAATAAAGCAGTTTCTCTGTTAGGGTTATTTCATATTCATTAGAACAGTTTGTGCTTATTATTAAAGTAAAATATAGATCGAGTTGAGTTTCTAGTAAGCTGGCTTGCAACCCTCAAAGGTAACATCCTAATTATCTACAGATAGATAGACAAAATAATTGTTCACTTAAGGAAAATGCTTAGTAAGTTTAAAAGCGTATGCCTGGCAATTAAAACATAGGAAAGACATTATGTTGATTTGAATTTGCTGATACAAACATCATTTCTTAGATATGAATGAATAATTTAGTGATGTCTGGGACTACTGCAAGCAAGATTTTCACGCCCTGTGTATCAACTAACTCTGCCATCCATTTGTATATAAATGTGTAGTGAGATTACAAATCAAAAATAGTCTTATTTTATGCATGTAGTTTCTGTAGTAAGGAAATGTTGTATTGGCAGTATTGGCTGAATTTGTAATTTTTAAATGGTCAGATGTCTAAAACTAAAGACTTTTTATGCATCTTGATTTTAATGACAGGGTTACCTTGGAAACTAAGACCTTATGATCCATTTTTGGTCTTCCTTGCAGTCGGTGTATAAAGAGTCCATTGATGATGCTATTACAGCAAAACATGTCAGGGACATGGGGTAGATAACCTCTTCTTGTGCACCACTTGATCTCTCTGTGCAGTGGATCCATTTATACTAATTCCTTGGTGGTATATCGTGGACCAAAGAACGACCCAAAGTTTATACACCTAACATATGGACTAGGGAGCTTGATTTATATGGGATACTGAAAATATCAGACATAGACTTGAGCAGTTGGATATGCAGTCATTGGACTAGGTCATCTTTGAAGGAATAGCATGGTTTATTCTTTAATCCTCAATATTGAATAAGCACTTCTCCATATAAGCCATTTAAAATTTAAGGTGGCTGTCTATGACCCTATATAGATTACACTGGGGAACAAATGTTTTCTTATTATGTGTTGCATGAGATTTTTGCAACTGATTCTAACTATTTTTTCAACGCTGATTTCAAGTTTGAAATGAAATCGCTTTTCTTCTACATGCTCTAGTTTTCATGCAATTTGAAACTTGTGATTTTTGCACAAAAAAAAAGGGAAACTCATTGCTATTTACACTAGGGTTAGCATCTACCCTAACCTTAGACTAATTAGGCAAATATTTTTTACAAACAAGGAGGAGGCAGCATGGCTGTCTTTTGTGACAGTTATACAAAACTTTCTTGGTAGCAAAAAGGCAGATAACTATGAGGTTCTCATTACTAGAATGCTGTCAGCTTTTCGCAATCTTTGGTGCAACATGAGCGCCAAGCTCTATTTCCTGAATAGTCACCTTGATCAATTCCTGAGAACCTTGGGGCTGTTAGTGATGAACAGGGAGACAGCTTCCATCAAGACCTCATGATGATGGAACAGCGCTATCAAGGGCAATGGGACAAAAATATGATGGCAGACTACTTCTTGAGCATCAAACGAGATGGTACTGAGAAAGTCCACCAACGCCACAGATAGAAGCACAATTTTTTGCCTGAATAGGACATATTTCAACTTTGAATCCCATCCTTATCAGTTGTTCTGAATTACCTATCATCTTTATGTCAAAATATGTGGTAATTTAAGGTAAAAAGCATTAGAGCATACTCATATTTGACTGCAATGGATAAACGTTTCAGATTTGACAAGTGGCAATACATATTTTACTCCAAACAAGTGATTTTTTTTTGCCTTTTTTCAAAATGTAATGCATAATGTGATGCACCTACACGTTTGAATACATAAAGAATATCTTTTCCAAGACGGTTGTCTAAGCCTAATTTTAAGACTGCGTGACCATAAATTCCTCAGATAGATTATGTCATCATGTGAGAGGTGTCAAAATTTTGCAATAAAATTAAAATGTTGAATTGCAAATCTAGAGCTTACAGAGAAAAACTAACTTCAGAATTCAGCACATTCAAATTAGGTAAGAACAAGTGCTGGTATCAATGCAAAAAAACATTTGTTCACAAGTCTTATTATACTCTTCGAGTTGACCCAACTATTTCTTATTGTCAAGACAGCAAAGGAGTTCACCATAATTATTGATCAGGATTCCCAGGGACACAGATGAAATAGCAAATTATAGTCTTATGTACATACAGATTTGACGTTGGAACGCAATATATTCAGCATTCAGATTTTGATAAATATAACTATACAATATGGGTTTTGAGAGAAAGTTGATTGCTATGTGTTTTGCAATGCGATATTTATAATACATGAATTCCATTGTAATACAATATGACATAAAGGGGTTGATTTACTAACCTTATAAACACACCACGAACATGTATACACCTCTGTAGTGTGTTCCGTCCCAGCATGATCTATGGGTGGAATCTAAACACCTTTGTAGTGTGTACACACCCAGCAGGTGTGTTGTGCAAAGCCCTGCCCTGAATTGCAAGGTGATGTTGTGTAAATTAGCTCTACATTGTGTTGCTTGCGTTGATGAATGCAGGAATGTAAATGCATGAGCTAACCATTTTTGTCTAAACTCTGAAGCAGCATTATATATGCATCATGTGCATGATTTTTCCATATATGGCATTAGTGGAAATATGCTTATAGAGACTTTTTGGTTGATAAATACGCTTTGCTGTGTAAAAATCACACGCACCTGGTGCGTGCGTGTGTTTAGGTTAGTAAATCACCCCCAAAGTGTTTTTATTTTATTTATTTAAAAAGTGAAATTTACTTATCCTCCTTTTGTATATTTTCACAGAATAAATATTCATAACTCAACTTAGGGGATACCCAACACATAACTATAACAATTCGAGCTCAGGCTGACTGCATCCTAGCTAAATTTGAACTTGGGACACTCCTGCTTTTGTCAGGGTCCTTACACAGACTTTTTGGAAAGAATCCTAAATTCCCAGTCTTTGCAAGGCCATTCTTGCTATACAGTGCTTTTGGCAAAACATGGAAGTGCCATCTATTCCCAGATACATTTTTTAAACACAACTTACCTCATAGACATTGAACTGTGACTGCCCTCTAGACAGCTCCCGATAACTTGTGGTGAATTCACCAATGTAATCATGGCTGTAAAATAAACACACAGGACATAAGAGTATTGAGGGTCAGTATAGGAATGGCATCTGTACATCATAAGCTGTTTTTTATAGCCAATGTTAATGCTTTTCTAAATGCATTTGTCTTCAGCATTTTAGGCTATGCATGCCATTAATCTATTGCCTAGTAGCAAGCATTCAGCCACCCAGCAGCCAATGCCTGGCCATCTGGATGAAGGTGGAATGTTACATAGTTACATAGTATTTGAGGTTGAATAAAGACATAAGTCCATCAAGTCCAACCTATTGTGTATGTGTGTGTGTATAGGTACCTTAGTCATCTCATTCTTAAGAGTACCTGTAGCCCTGTACTTTACCCTCTCTCAGGAAATCGGCCAAAAGCTTCTTGAATGATTCCACACTATTTGCTGAAATCACTGCTTGTGGCAGCGAGTTCCAGACCCTAACCACTCGAACTGAGAAGAACCCCCTTTGCCCCTTGTGTTGGAATTTTTTTTTCTACCAATTTTAGGTGGTGGCCTCTAGTCTTACTTATGGAATTAATCTTAAAGAGTTTGTTACTAATGTTGATATGACCATTGAACATCTTGTACATGAAAATCATGTCCTCCCTTAATCTCCTTACTTCCAGCGTGAACATATTTAAATTTAGTAGCCTTGTCTCATAGTTCTGGTCCTCCATCCCCTTGATGAGTTTGGTTGCCCTCCACTGGACTCTGTCCAGCTCAAGGACATCCTTTCTGTGAAACGGTGCCCAAAACTGCACCACATACTCCAGGTGAAGCCAAACCAGTGATGTGTAAAGTGGCAAAATTATAGACTTGTACCTGCAAAACATTCCCTTCTTGATGCAGGACAGGATTCTACTAGCTTTGCTTACAGCAACCTGGCACTGTAATCTATTATTCAGTTTATGGTCTACAATGACTCCCAAATCTTTCACCATTTCCGACTTCCCTAGCGGCATATCCATAATTGTATAACCTATTTGCTTATTTTTAATCCCAAAGTGCGTAACTTTGCATTTATCAACATTAAACCTCATCTGCCATATATTTGCCCACTCCCCTATTTTATCCAGGTCCTCCTGCAATGCTATAGTATCTTGGTCCGTTTCTATTACCCTCCCAATTTTGGTATTGTCAGCAAACACTGAGATATCGCTGTTTACTCCGTCCCCGATGTCGTTAATAAACAGGTTGAATAGCATGGGTCCCAGCACAGAACCCTGAGGCACACCGCTAATGACACTAGCCCAGTCTGAACGGGCGCCATTTATTGATACTCTCTGTAGCCGTTCCTTTAGCCAGTTCTCTATTTATGTACACACCCTTCCATCTATGCCCATAGACCTCAGCTTGTATAGTAAGCGTTTATGAGGTACCGTATCAAAAGCCTTTGAGAAATCCAGATATACCACATCCACAGACATCCCTCCATCCAGATCTCTACTTACCCCCTCGTAAAAAGTCAGTAGATTAGTCTGACAGGAACGGTCTTTCCTAAACCCATGCTGATTGTCATTTATGTATTAGTAAGCATTTACAGTAAATCAGAATAATTAGGGTCATTTAGACAAGTGAAAGAACATGTAATAAAATATTTTCCTATATCCCCATATTTGGTGCTTCATAGCATAGGCAGATAATGCAGGATATACAGCTGCAACTCTTTTTGTATCCATATTCTTGGAAAGAGTAGATATTTAGAAAATCAGTGTGTCACTTTTGAGATATTTAATATATTTACCAGTTAATTTGATACAATTTGATGACGTTATACATGTGATCACAGACACTAATTTTCCCTGACTAGCCAGATATTTGTATGCCTGCTACCCCGTCTGCTGAGTGTAAACTGTTTAAATAGAGCACTCTAGTCTTCATATGAAATAGTACAATTGTAAAAATCCAAGTTTGGTTCCCAAATTATACTGTATAAGCCGAGAATGTGTATGTTCTAGGTATAAAATAATAATTAAAACATATCTGTATTTCAATGGAAAGTAAACCATTACTAAGGGACTACCATACCATAGAGCAGACTACCGTTGCTAAACTTTTTGATGTTAGTTGTTAGGCTTGCGTGCTGATCTAGAGGTTTCAATACTTTGAGTTACAGGCCAAGTATGCAGATAAGGATTTTTGAATCAGTCAGGCAACTAGCAGTTTCAGAAGGAGGTCAACAATAGTAGGCTATTTCTCTCAGTTGTTTTCTTGAACAGAAACTATATTGAGATTAATATGCTGACTGTTTCTTAACCTCCCTGGCGGTATGATTATTCAGGATTTTAGGTACCAAAAGCGGTACATTGTTTTTCAAGCAAATATGTTGTTTTACATTGTAGGCCTGTAGTTCTTAGTAAATCCTAGGAATAACTCACCTAAATCTGTCCAAACAAGAGTCCAGTAGACATCCCAGGTATGATAAAGTTTGAAACACGAAATTAAAACATTATAATATAATAAATTATAAATAATTATAAGAAATTATAATATAA